AGGGAAAATTACTCTAAAGCATGTGGCTGAAAACAGCAAATATTTATTATGTCAGAGTTTTTGTGGGTTAGGAATCCAAGAGGAATTTAGGTGGGTGGCTCTGGTTTCAGGCTCTCTGTGAAATGCAGTCATCTCCAGGCTTGACCAAGCCGCAAGGATCCACTTCCAAGCTGACTCATGTGGCTGTTGACAAATTTTGGTTCCAGATGGGCTATTGAACTGAGGGTTTCAGTTCCTTGCCATGCTATGGGGGCCTCTCCAAAAGGCTGTGCACAGTGTGGTACTTGCTTTCTTTAGTGTAAGATACCTTAGAGAGGGAGAGCTCGAGATGACACACCCAAGACAGAAGCTGCAGCCTGTTTATAACTTAGCCCTAGGAGTAATATCTCATCCTTCTGTTTTTATTTGTTAGAAGCTCATCAACAAGTTCGGTCCCCTCTCTGGGGGTGAGAATTTAACAAAGACTTGAATGCCATGAGGCAGGGAGGGACCAGTGAGGCCCATCCTAGAAGCTGCCCACCATGCATTTTATCTGGTCCAGTAGCTGCTTGGTCAAGACCATGAAATATGTATCGCTGTTGTGGGAACAGTAATGAAAGTTTAAGTGTTTCAGTTTTCAACATATTTCAAAGAATTGCTAATTCTTAAAAACAAACCACACATTGCTAGGAGAAAGTAAAAATGTAATGACTATTTGTAATATTAAATAATACTCTAAAAACAATTGTTAAATATTAACTTCCTCAGCTATTACATAGTGAGCACTTTCTCACTGGAAATATCGAAACAGAAGATATTTAGACTATTTTGCTTATGATTTTTATACTGCCTATCCCAGAAATGATGGCCATGTCCCATTACTAAAACAAAGTTATTTTAAAATACAAAGATTCGTTTGGTTATTAATTTATTTATTTATCCATCCAATGAGCATGTTTTGAACACTTAATGTGGACAAGACATGGCCCTTGTGTTAAATATATTTTATATACTTTATTTTTGTATAAATGATAAGTACATTTCTACTTTTATAGTGACGGGTACTATGATGGTTCCACAAGCTATCTGGTCCCCACTTGTTTTTGTAAATAAAGCTTTCTTGGTACATAGCCCCATCCATCTGCTTACATGTTGTCTGTGGCTGCTTTCGTGCTACAACAGCAGAGTTGAGTAGTTATGATGGCGATCATAAAGCCTACAGAGCTTAAAATACGAACTATCTGGCCCTTGCAAAAATAGTTTTCTGACTCCTGACTTAAGGCCAAAATTAAAAATTGTACTTCATGAATTGCTAGACTAATAATTATTAAATACTTACTTGACGATTACTTAGTGTTACATTCAGGACTTCCCACAAAAACACCTTAAGCCACCTATCTACTTATATTTATTATTGTTATTACTACATATGATAATAATAGCTACTTTTATTTGAGCACCTACTATGTGCCAGGCAATATGTTAAACACGCCTACATACACAGACACCTCATTTATTCTTATGATACTATGAGAAAATACTGTTTCACAGATGAGGAAACTGAGATTGAATATGCCAGGATTGCCCTTTACGGTTTTCTGATTCCAAAGCCCTAATTCATAGTATATGGCGCCTCCCTTTCTTAGTTTTATTTCCCATGAGTATTATATTTTATTCAAACCGAACTCTTTCTTATTCCACCAGTATGCCTAACTCTTTCCAGTCTCTCTGCTTTTTTCTCATTGGAGCTCTTGGAATGCCCTTTCCACCCATTCCTTCATGCCTAAATTTCACTAATCTCTCAGAGGCCTCCTTAGTCACTGCCTGATCCATGACACCGGCCCTGAATCTCCAGCCAGAAGTAATCTCAGTCCTATTTGTCAGCTACACAGCAGCTAACAAGGTCTCTGGTGTCCTTTAACTGCTCTGTACATGCTAGAGAATGTTAAAATTCTGCACTGGAACACTGCCCATGAGTTATTTTGTATTCATACAATGCTTTTCCTCTAAAAGCTCAAGTAAACTCGAAGGTTTTTTCCTAAGGTTATTATCATAGAGGAAACTGACACTCATAATGCATGGCCTAATGCGTGGTAAGGGACTCTGACGAGACGATAAGTTTCTTATTCCAGCCGAAGATTGCAATATATTCAGTAATTTTCTCTAAGCAGTTTTTACACACCTCATTTCATTTTCATCAGCAGGGTTTTGTAGCTGCAGGTGTGAGATGTAGGTTGATCATGCAAAACTATCTTCGACACAGACTGTCGTTTTATAAAGACCACTGGATAATTGGTACTTTTAAAATAAATAATATAATAAAGGCTATTTTAAGGAACAAATGGGTTTCATAAGACGCTTGTGTGTTCTGTCGGATTTTCATTCGGATTTTCTCTAAAAGGACCCTAAATTATAAAAGCCAGGTCACCCTCCTCCATGTAATTAAGGCTATTGTGATGGTTGCCGTTGACACACAGGTTTTACTTTATTCACTTTGTTTCACTTAGTATTTTTAAAGGATTGCATTGAGCTAGGAGCTGTGGAGGGGATAAGGGAAATAGAAGTCTCTGAGAAAATAGAATCTAGTCTAGAAGAGACAATGAACAATGCGGGGTAGTATAAAATCAAATTATCAGTGTAATGGTACAGATCAGGGATTCAGAAGATGGAGGCACTTATAGTCTTTTCTGAATAATTTAGTGCTGTATTACGCACTGTCTTGTACTATGGATTGAATTACTTATGAGAAACATTCATACGCTTTTGCCTTACAGTCTGCATGGTATACCCGGCAGTTTTTCTGGCTTTGATGCCAAGGCAGTCAACGGGGCCAGCCCTTGCAGTAAATCATCCCCCAATGGGTCATTCCTTATTCCCAGAATTAAATTCTGTCCCTACCAATTTGTGTTAATAGCTTAAAGGGACTGGTCTCAAATCCTCCCAATGACTCACAGTCATTATTCTAGATGTATTATCTACAAAAAAAATTACTAACTATTCTTTTGCTTTCCCCCTCTGGATTTTCTTTCGACTTCCATATTTTATTTTTAATTCGGATGCTATTTGGTTTCATAGGGAAAAACAAAACTCAGATTTATTAAACCTATACTCTGTGCCTGTAACATGCTAGTTATTTTTCATGTGTGTTTTTTCATTTTATATGCACACATTTTTAGAGCAGTTGTAGGTTCACAGCAAAATTGAGTAGAAATACAGAGAGTTCCTGTATTCACTCTGCCTCAACGTGGGCACAGCCTCCCCCGCTAATCAACAGCCTCAACCAGAGGGGTACCTTTGATACAATCAACGGACCTACACTGAAACATCATTATCACCCAAAGCCCATGGTTTGCATTAGGATTCACTCTTTGTGGTGCACATTCTATGGGTTTGGACAGATTAAAACGACATATGCCCACCATTATAGCATCATACAGAACAGTTTTACTATCCTAAAAATCCTCTGTGCTCCACCTATTTATCCCTGGCTAGAGATTCTTTTAAATTTATCCTTAGAACGAAACGTAATAACTGACATACATGCCCCCAAGTAAATGTTTTTAGATGTAGGGTCGAATGAATGAAAGAAGGAATGGACAAATCGGAGAGAATCAGGGCATCTTTGTCATCGTCTTGCTGATGGGTGTTTTGTCTCTGTTTCAATAATTTCTCATACTACTCTGTTCTACTCGGAAGGCCACCCACACAAACCTGCTTATTCTTGAGATGCTCATTCCCACCTCATCCATTAAGTTGAAGTCAAGAGTGAGCTCTGGATACCTTTAAGACGTATTTAATGAAGGATCTATTTAATTCAGTGTGCCACACTTGTGTTTTTCACAAGCCCATGCCCGGATTCCCAGGAGACTGAATTATATTTTTATGTGGTGGGTAGAGTTTTTATAACCTCGCTTTTTATGAGCGAGAGGTGCCTTCCTAAATTGTTGCTTTTCACTTGGAACTGTAGACCCTGGGCATGAAACAGAGATTTGCTGGTCTATCCACAATTCACAGTCTCAGTCTCTTTTGCATCATTTCAGCTGTCTAGGTCAGAAAAGTATTGGGAACTGATTAAAAATATAACAGGAAATACAGTTTTTGCAGATTTGAACTTGCAATAGTTTCCATAAAAAGCCATAGAGGGTTGCCAAATTGTTGTTAAAATAATATAACTTCTCTTTGTGCTAGCAGAAGTTATTTATAAAACATTTATCATCTTTTTCCAAGTCTTTTAAACATTCCAAACTACATCCTTGATGTTATTTTGTTTTCATATAAACTTAAGAAGAAAATGTTACATGTGTTGCTGATTTTGAAGATGTCACTTTCTTTATCTCCTCTTAGCTCAAAATAGTCGCCATAAGGGAAGACTAATTTAGACTTTTTGAAATTTCATTCATTTAGTTTTGACCGTATAGGAAGATATGTTTATCTGGGAGGGTAATAGTTTTGTGCTTGTATCCATTATAAAACCGTTTTTGCACAAATGTCAGTTTCTCAGCAAGGTTAATTCACTGAGATACTTTTTCTATAGCTGGAGGGATTTCATGGAAAAGTGCTTTGAGGAGGCTTGAGTATGGGTTTTATGAATCAAGGAGATAGGAAACATCTACTTTAATAAAGCTCAATACCCATTTGAAAGTTTATGGAGAAAACTTAGTCCAATAATATAAGAAGTCATGTTCTTTTTTAGTTAAGGTAAGGCTTTAGCCATTCATCTAACAGTGACAGTCTTAATTGCTATGCTGTAATTTATAATTAATAATCTATCATTATTAATTGAATAATAATACTCTTCCTTCTTGGGATACTACTCCAGGGGCTGATAATCATTCTAACAGAAAACAAATCAGTCAATAAACATTATCTTTAAAATATTCTGCAGAGCATATTCCTCCATGTGATCTCGTAATTCATACCAGTTTTAAGTTGAAATCTCAATTCATGCTCACTAACTAATTTCTAGTCTTAAAAGGTAAACTGAGTGATTAGGTTCATGGCAGTTCTATTTTTATTCGCAGATAATGCCTCTGAGGTAGCAATTACTGCTCCAGGAACTAGTAACCATAGAAACAGTTCCACAGGCCCAACGCCTGACTGCTCACCTCCATCCCCCGACACTGCCCTCAAAAATATTGTAAAAGTTATTCGACCCCAGGTAAGTGCCCAGAATGACATTATCTGCACTAAAATGTATTTTGCTTTCGAACCGGTGCATGCAAAGCTCACACTGCAATGCCTGTCCGATTTTATGATATGGAAATTGATTTTTAGGTTAAACGCAGGGCCTTCGAACAGGATGTTTTCTTCCCTTGGAGCTGATGAAAGACATTGAAATCTGTATTAGCTTTTGGAAAAATGAATTTGTATATTCCACGACAAACACAAGCGACGCTTAGGAAAAGGGCTATTTATTTCACGCCACCTTCCTCGCATAACATTTTAATAACTGCGCTGCAGTGGCTGAGCCGTCCCATGTTTTCTGGCGTCTCCTGCTCCTTTTGTCCCCGTCTCTGACCGCGCTGCGTTGTAAATTTGCTCCCCCCTCCTCTGGCCCCAGTTGTTTCTATATGTTTTCTGTAACTGCCCTGTTCCTTCTGCTTTCTGCTGGGTTCCGCCTGGGTCCCATACTCCCGGCTTGCCTCCGGCTCACTCCCACCCAGCTGGTGGCCCTCTACCCTGCCTTCTCTGTCCCATCCCTGTCCTTTGTCTGTAGGACTTCCTCTCTCTTCCCTCTCCTCTTTCAGTTGGGCTTCCCAGTAGGCGGTTTGCAGGCAAGCTTTAGAAATATCACTGGGAGGGACAAGCTGTTCTGCGACAGTTCATTGAAAATAGCGCTTACAAAGCTGTTAGCATGATATTGCTGCCAACAGAAGAGTCCGGAGCGTGGGCTTGGCGGCGTTTAAACCTGCCTGGCTCTCAATGGGCCTCTAAAACCCAGGAGAGGGCGACTCTGGATCCAACCGATGCCTTTCACCATCTACTTAGATGGAGTGTGTGAACAAATCCCTCGCGGAGCAAATGTGTCCTTGAAGGCCGTTCCGTTGTGAATGAGCCACGATTTCCTCAGTAGTGTATCTTCTTTAGTCACCTGTGTCAGGTGATTTTTATTATAATCTTCATTCTCATCAGTGAAATGGCATTTAAACTTTAGCCCCCGCCTCAGTTTATACAGCACTTTCAGATCAATTGTTTCCTTTAACCTTCATGAGTTCCAAGGGGATGTTTATGCTGGTGCTACAGAGAAGGGTGCTGGCCCTCCCAAGGGGCCGAGGGACAGCGGGTTTGAAGTCCCTGGCCTTCCTGTCGTATAATAGTGTCTCCTTCCGTCCTGTTCAGAGGTTAGACGAATCCTCACGAGGTTGTACAACTTGACATCTTTATGAGGAACCTATAGTTTCGGGGTCAGTTAGACACAGTCACATTTTACACAGTGTCCCAGTACACAGAGGAGAAAAAATGTCCTCAAAAACCCTTTCTTCCTCTCCAGGGAAATTTCATCTAGTTCATTTGCTTCAAGAAATAACCTCATTAACCTCAGATTTAGATGCTAAATGCCACGTTTATTGTCATCGGCTCTCTCATTATATGAAGCTGTTTCTGGTGTTACTGTGCCGCTATTACATTTCTGGCATTTTTAGCTCCTTCGGGAGGAGATTGTCCTATATATAAGTTAATAAGATCCATTAATAAACATACTTACTTTTAGAAGACCAACGTAAATTTTCTAACGCAAAGGCATTTGGGAATTCAGTGAATGAAAAACAGATTACTTTCTACGTATCTGTAATCTAAGCAACACTAAGGAAACTTCCTCCATAAATCCTTCTTTACAGGTTTATTTTAGATGAGTTTATTTTGGTAAACCTTGAAGAAAACCAGGGGTAGTATTAAAGCCACGGATTCCACCTTGGCTCTTTCCTCAGCTCTGTCTGTTATTAAATGTTTATGAAGGTAACTGACTCCATTATCCTTTCTTAGCAATTATAGTGATGATTTAAAGAGGGGAAAAATGAAGAAAGTCAGGAAAGTAGGAATTATGGTATTTAAATGAGAACCAATGCAGCCTGTAAGTATCTACGTAATAGAACAATCACTGCTAAGCTATAGAATTGGGAAAGAATATAACCTCGGTTGGGCTACTTTTCTTTTCACCCCAGAGACTTCGGTGCATTACTTATTTCTCCCCATGACCCCTGATCTCCTGGGACTCCTCAGTCATTGTGGAGCACAGGGAGCAGACGATTGCAGTGGAAGTAATTATGAGGGGGAATTGGGGTAGGATATGTGGTTTCGGGAGAGGGTTTGGACACTGGGGAGTGTGGGTGGAGGACAGCTGGATGGATAGAACGGGGGACTCCCTGGTGTGTTCTGACAAGTCACAGGTGTGCGAGGGATGAAGCACAGTCAAGAGCTAACTGCTCCAAAGGACAGATACTTGTCGGTTAGCTTCTATAAGAGCCTGTATTTTCATCACAAGTTTAATCCTCTAAGTGTTTGCCAGCTCTGGCTTTCTATCTGGAAATGCAAGAAATGTGAAGTTAGATCAACTTGTGGCTATGAAAACACTTTTTCAATTTACTAATTAGAAATTAATAACATGGTCGAAGTGATCATTTCACTTTTAAAACTGGTGAGGAGCCTTGACAATAAAAGCCTAAGTGCTACCCGTATTCAAGAATTGACATTTCTTTGCATGGGCGTTGCCTGTGTTCAGTCTTATCGTGAGAATGATACAGAATTGATGAGAAAGAAAAACATAACCTTCATCTCACTTACTGTAAGTAGATACTACGCAGAGCAAGTTCAGTTGGGTCACTTTCCCCTTTTGCAGGCCTTTGTCTGGCCTGCTCTCCATAGCTCTACCTATACATGGAGCGTATCCATTTGTAACCAAGGCCTCCTTGCATTAAGTAGGTGGTAGGGCTGATTATACGCCGCAGGCTTCTGATTACTGCGTTAATTACTTGGAAGCTACCGCCTTTGCAGTGTTTTGTTGAGTTTGATTTTATTTGGCGTATTTAGTAGCTCGCTAAGTCACAGCTGTTAGTTCCCCATCCCGTGTTCGATCTTTTTGCCTTTGCTCCTTTGGACTCTTTCATGCCTTAACATTTTTCAGATTGTGAAACATTCTATTTTCAACTCATAGAGACTGAAATATTTATATACTTCTGGTTTCACTTTGTTTTTCTCCAGTATATTAGCCCACAAGGCTGAGTTTCTCTATTAGGATGAAGTCACAAGGCTGGGGTCATTTATTTATACTTGAAAATAAAATTATTTTTAAACTTGAAAAAATGGTACCTTTGACATAAAATTTTAGGTAGGCCTATTCATATACCTTTTCTTCTTTCTACTAAATAGTTATGTTATTTGTAATGGGTTTTTCTTTTTTATGTTTTCCTGGCGAAGCATCTTTATTTCTCACTAATTGAAGAAGGAAATTCAGTTTGATGAATTTTGACCATTGTATATCTAGGTATAACTCCACTCAAAGCAAGATAAAGGACATTGACATCACCCCCCAAAGTTGCCTTGTGGCTCTTTCCCATCAATTGCCCCAATTCCTACCTTAGAGGGAGCTTCTTTCTGATTTTTATCACTGTAGATTAGGATTGCCTGCTCTTGGGCTTTACATAAATGCAATCCTACAGTGTGTGTGTATTTTGAATATGTCAATGTCTGACTTGTCTCACTGGACATAATGTTTTGGGGATTCACTTGTTCTTTTTTGCTGAGTAATATTCCATTGGATTAATTTGATATAATTTGTTTATCCACTGTCCTGTTGCTTAATACTGTGCTGTTTCCTGTTGTTGGCTATGGATGGATATGCTGTGAATACTCATGTGTTAAAGGTTTTTTATAGACATGTTTTCATATAGATGACAAAGAGTGGACTTGTTGGGTCATAGGGCAGATGAGTAGCTAACTTTATAAGAAACTTGCCAAGAGTTTTCCAAACTGCTTGCTTCATTGTATAACCCCCATCAGAAATGTGTGAGCATTTTAGTTTCTCCAGTCTTGTGAACATTTGGTATATTAGGCTTTTTAAATTTTTTTATTTTAGTGATTCTTAAGGGTGTGAAAAGATTTCTCGTTATGGTTTTAATTTGCATTTTCCTGGTGCACCTTTTCCTGTGGTCATTGACCATTCTTATATGTTCTTTTGAGAAGTGTCTGTTCAAGTCTCTTTAATGGGTTGTTCAATTTTCTAATTGTTGATTTGTGCTAATTCTTTACAAATCTCCCGTAATCCAAAAGATATGGGTTCTTTGTTAGTTTTATGCACTGCAACTGTTTTTTTCTAGTCTGTGATTTGCCTACTTTATTTTTTAATGGTGGCTTTAGATGAACAGAATATTTTAATTTTGGTGAGATCCAGTTTATCAATTTCTTCTTTCATGGTTAGTGCTTTTTGTGTTTTGTCCAGGTTGTGAATATGTCCTCCTATAATTTTTCTAGATGCTTTCTGGTTCTGGCTTTTACATTTAGTTTTATTATCTACTCAAATTGTTTTTGTAGAGTGTGAGGTAAGAGTTGAGGTTTATTTATTTTTTCCTACATGGAAAAAGGCCCTCCTCATTGAGTTGACTTAATGCTTTGGTATTATTTATTACTTTCACTTTTCAGTTGTTCATTGTTGGTATACAGAAATGCCACTGAGTTTTATATAATCCTTATGTCCTTATATCCTGCCACCTGGGTAATTTTCCTTAAAAGTTATAGTAGTTCCTTTTAAAAATAATTTTTAATGGTTCTCTCTTGTCATCTGAGAATAATGATCTTATTTCTTTTTTTCCTAGACTTTAGATATTATTATTATTATTATTATTATTATTATTATTATTATTATTTTACTGCTGTGACTGCAGGGCAATTATGCACAGAACTGGTAAAACTCAAACCCATGCCTTATTTGCTATCTTTGAGGGAAAGCATTCAGTATTTCAACATTAAGTATAATATAACCTATGTTAATTGTGTGTACCCTTCTAATCCTAATTTGCTGAGAGTTTTAGCATAAAAGAGTGTCAAAGTTTTTCAATTTTTCCTGTATATATTTAGATGACCATATGATTTTTCTTCCTTTGTTCTGTTGATGTGATAAAATACATTGTTTTATTTTTAAATGTTAATCCAACTTTGCATTTCTGG